AAGTAAAAAATAAAAATAGCACTCTCCTACAAACCTCACATTTTATCCTGTAGAAGTATGTATTAAAAATAGGTTCTTTTATAACTTCTCAAAATATTTTATGTATTAAAGGTCATATGAAGGTATGTTCTTTCTATTTAACCAAACATGGGATTTTTCTCAAATACATTCTATAACCTAGTTTAAAAAATTTTAAATATCTATAAAATTTTCTCAGTCACTACATACATTTTTCTCAGTCATGACATATTCATGTAACAGATATTTATTCAGTGCTACTATATTAGATACTAGGGGTAAAAGATGTTCATATACAAAGTCTTCCCTTTCACAGAACTTATAGTAAGCATGCAAAAGTATATCAATTTTTTAAAAAGAAAATTCAGACCTACAATAACTACTAGAAGGAGATAAAAAGAGAAATACATTGGAGTGGGCCCATGTTAGATAATCAGAACAAGTGTGGCTCACTGAGAATCTGACACTGAAGTTCAGATCAAAGAAAGGAAAGAAGAGTCTTAATATTATGCCAGAATGAGAAGTTCTAGTGTAAGTATTTTGTCCCAGCAGAGGCTTGATGGATCTGGTTTAAGTTGAGTCCTTCAATGTTGAGGAGACTGTGTTAGTCAGCTTCCTGTCACTGCGATAAACTACCTGAAGTAATTTTAAAAAAGGAAAGATTATTTTGGTTCACACTTTCAGAAGTTTCAGTCCATGGTTGCTTGATCCGACCAGTTGGGCCTGTGGAAAGGCAGAACATTATGGCTGAAATGTGTGGGAGAGAAAGACTGCTTACCTCATGGCAGTCAGGAAGCAGGGAGAGAAGGGGTAGGCATCTCAACGTCTCCTTCAAGAGCGTACCCTGAGTGACCCAACTTTAACTAGGCCCCAACCCCTTAAGTTTCTACTACCTCCCACAGCATTATCAGCTGTGGACCAACCTTTCAGCATATGAGCTTTGGGGGCACCATAACAGGAACTTAAGGAATCTGGGCAAAAATTCATGACTAATCCATGAGATGTAACATATACAGAGAAAAAATTAATTTTTGCATATTGGCCTTCTATAAAGTGACTTTGCAAAAGTTTTAGTAGATTTTGTATGAACATGCATTCTATATAATTTGACATATATTTAGGGTCATATTTGCTATAATTAAAATAATTTTACTTATTTCTTTTAAAAAATTCATGATGTAATCCACATGAACATAGCTACCGAGTGATTGAATGTGCGACTTAAACAGCTAACAGGGTATATTTATTCTATCAATGGATAATTGAATGTAGTAATTTTTTAAAAAATACATTTTTGAGAAATGTGAAGTAGGTAGTTTCTTAGACATAATACCAAAGTAAAATGCACACAAGAAGAAAACAGATAAATTGGCCTTCATCAAAATAAAGTCTCTTTGAGACAGTGTTAAAAGAACGAAAGACAAAGTATATATGGAAAGAATATATTTGCAAATCATATCTCATTTAAAAATCCTGTATCTCTTAAAGCTCAGTTATGAGAAAGCAAATAATTGTTCAAATAGGCAAAGTATTTGAATAGACATTTCTTTCATCGATGTTATGGCTTGTATCTAGATATCCCCTTAAAGCCTCATGAGCTCCTAAGTGGGGCTTTTTGGAAGTGGCTGGATCTAAGGGGTGTGAATGTGGATTAAGGGTGAGTGAATACAGACTAAAGTTGTGATGGATTAGCCCACTGATTGGTTTAGCATTGCTCTGGGTGTAGGTAATGGGAAGCCCCGACCTGAGTGTGGGTGGCACCAATCAATAGGCCTGCAGCATGGATGGAATACAAGGGGAAAAGAAGAAAGGCAGGCTCACCGCTTGCTGCCTTCTGCTTGCTCTGCCACAGACTCTTTCTCTTCTGTGATGCCCCTCTGCTATGACATCTTGCCTTGGAGCCAGCTGACTGGACTAAAACATCTACAAAATGTGAGCCAAAATAAACCTTTCCTCCTTTAACATGTGGGTATTTTGTCCCAGCAACAAAAAAAACCAAGACAATCAAAAAAGGTATGTAGATGGCAAGTAAACATATTTTAAAATGGCCATTATTTATTATAGAAATATAAATTAAAAGTGAAGTCAAATACCTCTATACACCTGCTCAAATGTCTAAAATAAAAAGACTAAACATACCAAGTGTTGGCAAGAATGTGAAGCATTTGAAATGATCAGACACTGTTGGTGGAAATGTGAAATGGTACAATCACTTTGAAAATTTGACAGTTGCTTACAAAGTTAAACATACATACCCTATACAGTCCAGCCATTCTACCTCTGGGTATTTACCAAAAGAAAAAATCATATGTCCACAGAAAGACATGCTCTGTACAAATGTTCATAACAGCTTTATTGTGATATTCAAGCACTGGAAACAATCCAAAGGTCCATCAACAGATCAAAAGATAACCAAACTGTGGTGCTGTATATCCATTTAAGGGGCTTCTACTCAGTATTAGAAAAGGAACTCACTGTTGTGAGATTACAACTTTTGTGAGAGTATGAATGAATCTCAAAATAATTACACTAAGTGAAAGAAGTCAGACAAAAATGTATATACCAACCCATCAAATTGCATATATTAAATATGTGCTAGATTTTATGTAGCAAGTACATCTCACAGCTGTAAAAAGATTAACTATATAGTTCCATTTAAACAAATTATAGAGAAGCAAACTAACCTGTAGTGGCAGAAAGCAAACAGTGTAAGTGGCTTCCTAGTGGAGCTGAAGGGAAGAATATGAGAAACATATTACAAAGGACAACGAGGAAGTGGGATGATGAATATGGTCATCTTGAATGTGGTGATGGTTTCATAGGTACATACATATGTCAAACTTACCAGATTTTTCATTTTATATATGTACAGTTTTTTGTATATCAATAAAGTTGCATTATTTTGCTTTTGTGACTTTTAAGGCAGAAGTTGAACCAAAAACCTGCAACATGACAGTATTTGTCACAATTCCTGTATTTTTATTTATGAGCCTGTAATCTCTTTGTATATTAATGAGAAGAGGGTTCATGATATTCACCAAAACAACCCCAAACTTCGTGGTTAAGAATTGTGGCAGACACTGTTGTGTTTTTTTTTTTGTTTGTTTGGTTGTTTTTTTGGTACCAGCGACCGAACTTGGGTCCTTGTGCTTGTGAGGAGGGCAGCAGAGCCACTGCACTAAATCCGGCCCTGGCAAGCACAGCTGATAGCCTCCCTCAAGTGATATCCCTTTACTGTCAGAGCTCACCTTTCCACATAAGCTGATAATGCCTCAACCCGTAACCAAATCATAGCTAAGTGCATCAGGATAAAAAACTATTGTGGGTATTCTCTGAAAGACTTTCCACCCTAGTTAAGAGACCTGTAAAATGTCCTACCTTCCTGCATTTGGAATTTGGTATATGAAGACATAAAGTTTACAACTATATGAACCTTTTTTGAAAGTAGGAAGACGAAAGTGAGAGCCATAGAGAATTTAACCTGAAACCCTAGCAATATTGCGCTACTGAATTAACTAACCTTAGAGTTGGTTAATACCTCTAGATTTCTTTTAATATAAAATACTATACTTTTCATTTTAAAGAAGTCTCTTTAGTCAGATATTGTGTTACTGGAAGTGGAAACATATTTATTCAATAATATTACTAATTAATTTTACATGACCTGACATGGGCAACTGCAGTTTTATGAACACACATTTTTAGTCATATTTAATTGTATCCAGTCTTAAGAAAGAATGTGCTAAGTTATTAAAGCAGCAGCCTCTTCCATATTTATCCACCCAGTTATCTCTTGCAATAGAGACTGACAAGTGACTTGAGAGCATCCCTAGGAGGCAGCAACACAAATCTGCAGCAACTCAGGAGCTATCCTGTGGGGAGGGTGGCAGAGGAAGAACACAGGACCATGTTGGTCTCCAGTTCTTTTATACATGGCCCAGGACTTAGTGGCATCAAGAACTTGCCTAAATTTTTGCCCTTAGTATCAGTAGGTTCAGCATCCAAACTCACCCTTCACCACACCTGTCAGAGATGTTTCCCCAGATTGCAGTAATAGGTTGTCTAAGCAACAGCCCACCACCTCACATCTATGAGATAAGCTGAGGTTCATCTGGTACTTGATAGAAGAAACAGTTTGCACTTGGGGCCCAAAACAAAGATTTTTAAATTCCTGTAAAGAGCTCAGCAAAAGCTTAGGTAGAGAAAAGTATAAGAACAACTTGTTTTGCTAGGTTTAGATTTTTATGCTATATGTTGCCTTGAGGCAAATTTATACACTATACTCGATTTTTGGATATGCTTCTTAGGCTTCACATTTTTAAAGGAGATGACCTGTTTTTTACTGATTCAGTGGTTCAACTTTGTGCTTTCAAGTGTGTTTTTCAGGCAACAAGTTCATGAACCTTTCTTTTCTTGCACCAAGCCTAGCACTTTGCAGCCAGGACTCAATAATGATTGAGAGAAATGAATAATAAAACATGGAAATCAACAGTCAATTGTAGCATGTTCACAAACTATGTAGGCAACTGCTTTATGAATACCTTTTAAGAACTACTATTATCCATAAAGATAGTAAAGGTGGTAGCTACAAAGAGAAAATATAAACAGATTCTTTAGTGTGCATAAAAGGGCCGAAGACAGAACTCTTATTTTAAATGGCTTTGTCCAATACCACTTTTTAAACTCTGAAATATAAGAATGTATAAAGACCAAGCAAACAAAAGTACCTTTCTTTTATAGAGCATTATAACAAACCAGTAGCTGCATCATTTGCATATTCAATTATTAGCTCTAGATGAGATATTCATGGGTTTTAACACCTCTACGGACGCTGAGCACCCCCACTAAAGGCAAAGGAACCTAGGAGGCCAAAGGGCCACGACACCCTGCGGGTACAGTTCCCCGCCCTGACACCGGGAGGGGCGTGGCCAATGACCGGAAGGGGCGTGGCCACGATCGGGGTGCCTAGGCGCAGACCCTAGCCTCTGTACTTCCTTTTCCGCTCAGGCTCGGAAGGTGGAGGTCGGGTCGGCTGGCGTTAGCCATGCTTTCAGGGCAGCAGCAGCACCTGCGGGTCGGTCACCAGGCTCTTCGAGGTGAGAGTTCTCACTGCCTTAGTACCTCTCCTCCATGCGGAGTTCCTTAGCCTTTTAAATGCCGGACGCGGCCCGTTCATTGCGACGGCCTCAGATCTTTGCCCTGGCAGCCCCTGTGGACTGGGCCACGATTTTTCTTTGCCTCTTGAGTCCTGACGCCTCTGCAGTAAACACTGGTTTTGTCTCTCTACCCCTCAGAAGTTAGTAAAAGGCGTTGGGTTTAGAGGCGTGTTCTTTCCATTCCACCCGCGCCTAGGGCGTTTTCTCTTTTTTACCCAGCAAAATTGTTTGTGACCTTGGTGACTTCAAGTTAGAGCGGTTTCATTTTGAGGAGGGGGAGCATTTTACAAAGGGGGCGTTCATTATCTCTTAGGTGTTAAGACACTACTTTTCGAGTGGTTTGAATAAACCGTTTACTATCAGTATCGGTCTAAACGATAGAAATCGTTATTCTTGGAGCTGTCATATAAATAAGGGCAATAAAGAAGGCCCTTAACCCGCCTTTTCTTAGTAAACTCCTAGATGCATGCACTTATATGGAAATGTGTATTTCTAGATACAAGAAACTGCTGGGGTTTCCCTAGTACTGTGCGAAAAAGAAAACAAAAACCACTCTACCAGCTGGGAGGTGGTGAAAATGTTACCTGTTTAAAAACAAATCATATCAAAAACTAAATGTTCGCGTGCCTCTAATCCCAGTGCTCTGGGAGAGTGAGGCAGCAGGATCCAAGTTCAAGCTCTGCTTGGGCAACTAAGTGAGACCCGGTCTTAAAAAATATGGGCTGGAGAAGAAGCACAGTACTAAGGCCCTGGTTAAATCCTCTGTACCGGTGGAAAAGTTTTATTAAAAAAAAAATATTGGCAGTGCACGAACATCCTGAAACATAGTAAATGGGAAAAAGCCCACTAATTCATTTATATCTGCTGTATTAATAATGTTTGTTCCCTGTCTCATTCTCCTACCCCATTCAAAGGTACTTGTGTGTCCATATATATGCATCTCTAGACATTCATTTATTTAAGTTTTAAATGCATGTATTGTTTACCTCCCATGGACTTAAACTGAGTTTTATTCAGATTGGAGTTATTCACTTCCAGTACTTTGTGTTCTGTATTCCCATTATTGACTGAAATAACCAGTATTTCAAGGCATGAAAATGATAAATTATTGTGCAAGGCCCAGCTTCATATGTGTTCATAAATCATTTGCAGTAGCTGTCTAGTTCAGTGATTTATCCTCCTGGGATACTCTAGGACATGATTTGTGACCCTGGCCATCTCCTTTGTAGTACTTAGTGTTTTCAGTCACCTTGCTAACATGAAGTATCCTTTATCTAAAGCTAGATCTGCCACTTAATGTTTTTGGTGAAGGTCTGCATGCTTGTTTTTATATTCCTAACCTTTAACATGGCTAATAGTTCATCCCTGTCAAACTATGAGACAGAAAAAGCTATGGCTTGGCATTGATAGAACCATTGTGTCTTAAAATCAATCCTACCACAGTGAAGGATATGATAAAATGTTTCCACCATTTTTCCTACTCTTGCTAATGACTCACATTTCCAGCTTAGGAAGAAACTCATGGAATTAAAGAGTTGAAAGGTTGCAAACTGTGTGTCTATGGATTCTAGTGAAATTCATATTAGACTATACCCACATATAGAAAAAAATTGAGGTACAAATAAGAATTAAAATATTTAATTTCTAGGTACAGCAAAGTATGTATTTTGAAGATTTATGAAAGTTGAGAACAAATGTTTTTCAAAAACGTCATAGAAGATGACTGAAGAAAATTGCTATGACTACAACTGCATGTAACAAGGTAGTCTGCCTCCTCCCTCCCTTCTCAATAAAGGGCAGTATCCAAAATGTGTAATATATTAACACAGATAAGCTTAATAGCTGGCACAATGATGACTTAAATTTTTGCCGTTTACCCAGCAGAGAGTTTCTTTGAAGAAATCATTTTAAGACTGAGATGCCAGTAGTCCTTTAATGATGAAGTCAGGTACTAAATATAAAGCAATTTTTAATTGAAATGAGTGAAATATTTCTCTTCAGCCTATAGGTAGCTGCAGATTAATTCATAAGTCCTTTGATGGTGCTGAAAAACATTGACTCATGTAAGTAATTAAAGACTTCTCAAACGAACACATCTGTTGATGGCTCAGAACTATCTGATAAAACTCCATAGGGCTAGAACCCAATTCCTTTTGAACTTGCCTTTGCATTTCTGGGTTATGGTTTTCTTTCTCAGCATTAAATTTTTGAAGGAGCACTTTTATCAAAGTTACTGATTTTCACTGCTGATTTGTTTTTTCTTTTGGAGGTATGGAATGCAGTGCTTTAGAAGGAACAATGAAGAATTGGTCAAGAAAACGTGAACAGAAGCAAATGATGCAAATATTTGATGTTGAAAATTTCACAAATTATGTAGAAAAAGACTGATTATAATTGCTGAATAATAAATTGTTTTCTTTAAACATCCTCTTGGAAGCATCTCTGGTCTTAATTTTTAGTCACCTATTTTCAATCTACTTTAAAAGTACTGCTGTCAATAACTAGCTCATTTGTAGCTGGTGATTCTGATTGAAATAGACAGCTTGGGGAGCCATTTCTAGTGCCTTTTTAGCTTTGGGGGAATTTCTAACCCTAACCACTCCCTGCTATTGTACATTTAAAAAAAAAAAAAAGGAAAAATAGCTGATGGAAATTTCCTAAGCTCTTTAAATGCTTTTAGTTGCCCCTTAAAGACTTCACCTTTCTATAGCCTACAGATTTTATTTTTGTGAAAACAAAAAACTAGTACCCTATAACAAGTAATAACTATGTGGTATTAAGGAAGATAGTGACAGGGCAAGCCATCAGTCTGTCGAGGACTAAAAATTTAACAAGAACATTAAAAGTGAATTCCTACCCAAGTGAAGGCTTATATTTAGCTAAATTATTTACTGTATTGACTCCATATTTTATAGATAAAATACTTTTGTCAGGATCACATATGGCACATATGGCAGGCTCAAGCTAATTGTAAAGCTGTGTCCTAATACTTCGCATTAAAGGCAACATTTAAAAACCATAGTTTATTTTTTTTCCCCTCAGTGTTTGGACCTTTGCAGTTGTAAAATTGAGGCTAGACAGGCACAGTGGCACACACCCATAACCCCAGCACTTGGGAGGCTGAGGCAGAAGGATCGCCACAAGTTGGAGGCCAGCCTGGACTATAGTATAGCTCCTAGTTTTTATAGTACTTTAAAAATAACACTGTTTTGGCTTTATCCTATCTCAAAAAAGATGGAATGTAGATCACTGTGAAGGCTCTGGGTTAAATTCCAAGTACCATCCCCAAATAAGGTTTTATGAAATTGGTAGGTTTTGAAGTCCCTATTGTTTTTAAAACCCAAAAAGTGGAAGCCAGATACAGTGGTATATACCTGTAGTCTTAGCTACTTGGGAGGCTGAGATAGGAGGATCACTTGTTTCCCTAAGAGTTCAAGGCCAGCCTGGCCAACATGAGACTATCTCAAACATAAACAATTGGTTTGCAAATTGGGATGTTATCTTAAAACCTTTTAGGAAGAAGATCTATTTATTTTAAGATCAATTTATAAGTCACCGATTCCTTGACTCCATTTTTTTCCATTTAACTTGACAGAAAATTTAAAGGCTTTCCATATTCCACAAAAGGCATAAAGAGGTCTTAAATTTGGAATTTTATGTCACACAAGTTAACAGTTTGGCAACTTCACAAAATGTTAAAAAAATGGTTTAATTTGTAGGAAAATAAAAGGATTATTGTCATCTTGTGACAAGTAGAATGAACTACATAAATTAACCATTTTTGACAATGAAACAGTTTCAATTTTTATCTTCATCTCTGATACACTGGGCAAACAAATTTCAGTAATTCCTCACTCCCCACCCCCACTGGAGACTGAACCTAGGGCACTCTACTAGTGAGCTACATCCCCAGCCCATTTTATAGTTTTTAATTTTCATTTTTGCAATGGTCTCACTAAGTTTCCCAGGCTGGCCTCCAACCTCTGAGCCTTCTGCCTCAGCTTCCAGAGTAAGTGCAATTACAGGCATGTGTCACCACCACCCAGCCAGAAATTTTTAAAAATAGGATTCCCCTTGACCACTTCATTTTAAACTGTTCATATTCTTCTAAGTTTTAAAATTCTGCTGTTGGTTTTAGAGGTTTAGACTAGTATTTAGCTCATTAGCTATTTATTTTGGTACTGGGGATTGAACTCAGGACCTTATGCTTGCCAGGCAGGTGCTCATTAGCAATTTATTTTTAAAGGACCATATTTTATAGTTTTTAAATGTACTCTGCTGTGCTCTTGTACATGGTATCATTTGAAGCATTGCTTGAAAACAATTCAAATATACTTTTTTCCATTGCTTAAGTAAGAATGAAAAAATTTGCTCACATTGCTTATTCATCACTAGAAAAAACTGAAGTTCCAGGTCCATAGGTGGCAATAAACTGTTGAAGCTGTTGTTGACACTGAGTCAGATAGAGATCCCTTTGTTCTAAATACTCTTCGTTATACAGTTCAAATGGAAATACTGCATTTGGAGCAACACCAAATGCAGTGGCTCCTAAAACAAAAAGATACAATGTAAATGGAAAATATTCCTTAACACACTAAATATTAAATCATATTTTCAACCAAAATACTCCAGTAAAGTTTTTTATTTTTATTTAAAACTTTTATTTTGTGTGTGTGTGTGTGTGTGTGTGTGTTCGAGACAAAGTATCGCCATGTATTTCAGCCTCCTGAGTGCTGGGAGTATAGGCATGTGCCACCATGCCTGACTTCTAGTGAAGATTTTAAAATAAAGTTCTGACCTATTCAACATTTTTTTTTTCCCTAGCAATGGGAATTGAACTCAGGACCTTGCACTTGCCAGGCAGGCACGGTGTCACTGAGCTACATGCCCGGCCCCTCAACAGAGTATTTGACTATTATTTAAATTGACTTTTTAAAAAGCTGAAATGAGACCTTAAGTAAAGAGTAAGACCAAATCTACATACCTGCCTGGTTCTTTATCTATTTTCTTCTCACCAATAAAATCAAGTGACCAGTCACAGCAATGTATCCTGGATCCGATCCCTGCTCATGTTTTTCAGGACTTACTCTTGGTCCCCCCAACCCTGCATTTCTTTTGCTATGTTGTCCATGCTGATCTCAGTCAGCAGGATACTACCACGTCAGGTGTTGCTTGCTTTCTGTAAAATCATTAGTTCATTACACGTCATGTGATTTTAATACCTTATGTATTAAAAAAGACATATCCACTATTGGATTATATCTTCAGCTACATTCTTCATTTCCTAATCTTCACAGTCATCTCAGAATTGCTTATGTATAATAGCCTCCTACAATTTCTACACTACTAAATGTAAGCTTAAACTCTCAGTAGCATGTAATATAACCCATCCTTGGGAATCCATCTTCCTTGGCTTATGTAACATGGCACTGTATTTTTTTTTGTACATTTTAGCTCCTGCTTCTCTGTCTCCTTTGTTAATTCCTCCTTGTTAGCTCCCATTTCTAAATACTGGAATCCTTCAAGGTCAGTTGGAATTCTCTCTAGTCTCTAGATGATTTCATCTACTTCTCCGCTTTGAATACCATCTCTATGCTAATTGTTGCTAAATTCTACTTCTAGTAAGTCCACATTCTTTTATGTGTTGATATCTCTAGTATATCATAAACATATGGATAATTTGATTTTTTCCCCCCAAAACTCTTTCTGCCTTTCTTTCCAGTCTTGGAAAATGGCACCATGACTTACCTAGTTGCTCAAAGGACCCACCTGAGAGGTTTCCTTAATTCCTCCCTGCCTTTCCCCTCAACCCTGCCCTAACTCCTAATTTAGCTCATGAACAAAACCTATTGGTTTTTGTATCTAATATGTATCCTTAATCAAAGCTCCCATTATCAATTGCCTTAGGCTATGACAGCAATTTCTTAATGTTGTCTATTACACCACCTCCTCTAATTCATTCTTCACATCCACTAAGACAGTGATGGTGAAACTTTCAATGATACAAACAGCCCCCAGAAGCATGCATGCCATAGGTTTGCCACCACTGCACTCAGACAGTGCTATTTCACAAATATAATTGATCATTACCAAATAGTTTCTCTGGTGTGAAAAACTATAATAGTACATAAGATAATAATGATATAATTGACAATGTGAAATAGGAAAAGTCTAAAGGTGTAGGGAAAGTGGGAAGGGTAGGGGAAAGGTAATAAGGGAAAAATATATGAGAAAATGAAAAAATGGAAATAAAGTGTAAATGGGGAGGGGAGGAGGGTGTGAAGGGAGGGCAGGGACAAGGGGAAAAAATGAGAACCAAGACCTGTCATGTAAAGGTACAAGATCCCAATGATGAATGTAACTGTATTGTATACCTAAAATGTACCAATAAACTCAATGAGAGAAAAAAATATAATTGATCATACTAGTTCTCTACTTAAAGCCTCCCAGTGGCTTTTCATTGTATTTGGAAAGGATCCCAATTTTCTACCATGATCTGTGAGGCTCTGCAGCATCTGGCCCTCTTTTTCTCTCCAAACTTAACTTGCCCCACTCTGTTTTGTTTATTATGTTTTAGCCACCCTGGCCTCTTCCATTTTCTTGTAAGCACCTACATAAGTAGTTTCCCTCTAGCTGGATTTTTATCCTTCAGGTTAAATAACACTTTCTTAGAAAATTCTCCCTACAAATTCAGTCCTTTTATTCTTCCTTATAACAACCTGTTTGTTTTCTTCACAGTACAGTATCTCTCTCAAATTATATTATACATTAGTGTATTTACTCTTTAACGTTTATTTTCTCACTAAGCTGTAAGTGCTACCCAGGTAGAGACTGTCTTTTTCCACCACTGTATTATATCAGAGGCCTAGCGCTTACTTGACATTCAAAAAACATTTGTTGACTCACTCACTGAATAAAATAATCATGAATATTTAACTCAAATAGTGATAATTATAAGAGAGCACATAATACTCATTTTAGTACATCAGTCCTTAAGTTATAATTAACCTTGAAATACCTTCAGTTTACTTTTAATGCATACTTTATTATATGGTATGCAAGTAATGTAAAAAGAGGGCAAATTAATTTTAATACCTAAGGTATCATACAACATTAGAAGATGAAGCTATAGCTTTATATAAATTGTCTCTACTTCTGTCAATTCCTATCCAAGAAAAATATCCTTTGGTAGTCATCATTTTTTTTTTTTGGTACATTTCAAATGCACTTAGGAGCTCTTAATATTGTTTTACTTCACACTTAAAAATCAATATATCTAAATGGAATTCATTATGAAAACAAAAGTAACTGAAG